GTCCAAAAACGGCGTTATTTTTGTCTTTTTCAAACGTTTAAGCACATTTTTGAGATAAAAACAAGAAAATTCTAAAAATTGTATTGATGTAGGCAAAAAAATTAAAATTAAATCGAAATTGAAATTATTTTTAGCTCGATTTACTTCGTTTTTGAACCAGAGACTCATTTATTTTGCAAAATCCTGTCCAAACACGCTTAAAAATCATAAAAACAATTAATATTGATGTTATTTTGTTTGTTTCACTTGATTTTGAGTAAAATAAAAGAAAAATAAGCCGAGAAACCACAAAATTTGACCGAAAGTGCGTTTTCATACTAGAATCTCAAATTTTTCACTAGATTTCGCTAAAACAAACAAAAAATCAAGAAATTAAGTTTAGAATTACATTATTTTTGCATTTCTCGAGCATTTTAGCATGTTTTTTAGGTAGGAACGCAATTATGTCGCAAATTTTTGATTAAATTTATTTGTTTTTTATTTCTGTAATAAAATTATTTTTTTTCGAAATCCTCACCAGTGTTGCTAGGTTTGGTGAAATTGCAACAGATTTAGTGATTTTCATGTTAGTCTGGTGATTTGGTAAAAACTTTTGTAAAAATTAATATATCTGGTGATTTTTGAAAATGAAAAAAACCGTTTTTTCGGAATTTTTCACGTTTTCAAGCAGAAACTTTTTTTTCAAATAAGTTGAAATATAGTTTTGTTTTTTGTAAGATTTAGCAAAACAGGATCAAAAATGACAATTTAGTTTTGCCTTTTTCAAATTTTTTTCAGCTAGAAACAATTATTTCGCAAAATTTCGTTATAAACAATCTAAAAATTCAACAAAGTTGACCCAAAACGGCGTCATTTTTGTCTTTTTCAAACGTTTAAGCACATTTTTGAGATAAAAACAAAAATATTCTAAAAACTTTGTTGATGTAGGCAAAAAAATTAAAATTAAATCAAAATTGATATTATTTTTAGCTTGTTCCGCTCGATTTACTTCGTTTTTGCAAAATTCTGTCTAAACACGCGTAAAAATGATAAAAAAAAAACAATTAATATTGATATTATTTTGTTTGTTTCACTTGATTTTGAGTAAAATAAGACAAAAATAAGCCGAGAAACCACAAAATTTCGCCGAAAATGCTTTCAAGTGCGTTTTCGTACTAAAATCTTAAGTTTTTTCACTAGATTTCGCTAAAACAAACAAAAAATCGAGAAATTAAGTCTAGAATTACATTATTTTTGCATTTCTCGAGCATTTTACATGTTTTTCAGCTAGAAACTAGCAAAATTTTGTTGAAAAATCACAGAATTAAGCCGAAATGCATGTCATTTTTGGGTTTTTCAAGAGTTTAAGAGGATTTTTAAGCTGAAAACTGCGTTTTTTCGTGAGATATAGCCATGCAAATCGTAATCTGGTAAAAATTTGGCGAATTTTTCAACTAGGATATGGTGAATTTTATGTTTTTGATCTGGTAACATTGTTCGTTACTAAAGTTTAGTAAAAAGTCTAAAATCGGTATTAAGTAGTTCATTATATCCCAATTTTTTACTGCAACCAATAAACAATGAATTCAAATTGGCATTTTACAATTAACTTAAATAAGTAAATTCTTCCGTGTTGTTTTCATCTATAATTTTCTGCATAATAACCTAACCTTCAAAAATGGTTTTGCACAAATTTTGTCCAATTTTGCGATTTTAAAGTCTTATTTTTCATTGCTCCAGAATTATTTTCGTAATGAAAAATAAGACTTTAGTGCATTGATACATAAATAACTATTGATGTATTGTTACTTTCTTTATTGATTTTTTGTTAACACATTTTTTTATGATAAGCCTAAAAAAATTTGATTTAAAGTTGTGTTAAAGTTTGTTCGGCCGTAAATTAGAATTGAAGCATTTATTATTTTGTTGAAATACATTGATTTAGGTTGATTTCAGGCTTAAAATTTAGCCAAATCGATTAAAAATAAAACAAATTGTGTCATTTTGTAACAATATATTGATTTATAATGATTTCTGGGTTAAAATCGATCAAAATGGTATTAGAAAGAGCTCAAATCGCTTTATTTTGGCAGAAAACTGAAATCTAAGCATTTATTTTGTTGAAAATCATTGATTTAGGTTGATTTCTAGTCTACAATCGAGACCAATCGAAAAAAATAGCCTTTGAGGCGAAAGTGAAAAAAAACACTTTTGAGGAGGTAGAAAATAGTAGAGAAATTGACTAACAATAAGCTTTGAGGAAGTAGGTAGTAGAAAATTTAGGAAAATATAGTTTGAGGGGAAACTAGAAAAGATGAAATAAAAGAAAATAAAGTCAAATAATTAAATGAAAATAAGAGAAAACAGAAAATAAGTAAAATTTGGTATTTGCAACTATACATAATAAGAGGTTTGAATGTGTTTTGGAAAACAAAAATACCTATTGAAAACTTGAAAAAAACTGATAATAGTAGAAAAATTAAGGTGAATTACCAACTTTCGTGGCGGAACTAAAGAAGAAAAAAAAAGCATCAGGAAAAATGAAAAATAATTTAAAAAAACAAGTTTGAAAAACATTGATTTATTTTTTGATTTAAGTTGTTTTCTGGCTTAAAATTGGGCTATTTTTGCCAAAAAAAACACGAATTTAATCTCATTTTCGTTTAACTTTGGCAGAGGTTGGAAAATGTCTCATTGCTGACTTTTCTATTCTCTACCTCCATTTTCACCATTTCGATCGACAAGTCAAGCTTTTTGAATATTTTTTTTTGTGATTAAAATTTGACTTCGACAGAATGAAACACTTTCCGCCTCGGTATGTAATATACTATTTCCTGGTTTTAGATGGTGGCAACACTGCTTTACGCGATTGTTACTTATTTTCTCACAATGCAGCCAGTGGAAGCCTTTCGAATATTTTCCTTTCTCTTCATGTGCATTTTGATATCGCTGGTGGCCCAAAGTTTCGGATTATTTATCGGCGCCATCATGGATATTAAGGTGAGTTGTTGGAAGTTGCAATTAGTGTAAAATTTTAAACTTTTTTTCCCCAGAATGGTGTGATATTTGGACCATTTTGCCTTCTCCCCTTTACGATTTTTTCGGGGTTTTTCGTTCAATTGAACGACTCTCACCCCTATATGAGGTGGTTGTTTCACATATCATTTTTGAAATATGGTCTAGAAGGGTTGGTTTTATCAGTCCTGGGGTATGACCGGGGCAAGTTACCCTGCAGTGCCGACTATTGCCATTTTGTCTATCCTGAGAAGTTTCTGGATCAGATGGATATGGAATATGCTCAATATTCAACAGCTGTGATTTTTATGTTAAGTCTCGTTGCTGTAATCAGAATTGCGGCTTATTTCGCCTTGAGTCTGCAAATCAAAAAACGAACGTAAATAATTAAAATGTGTTCAAATGAAATGTGATAAGAGAATGAGTTATTTATTTTTTATTATCCTAGTCTTTAGATTATAATGAATCAGGAATTAAGTTGATTTTAATGTCTAGATAGGTGCACACTTGTTAAGCTTTGATAGGCCGATTTACAATCAAATTTTTGTATAAAACTTTACAAAACAAGGGTTGTAATAAATACAATTCGAAAAAACAATCTCTGGTTTAATTCAACACACATTTAATAAATATGAAAATAAAATAACACAGCCAAATATACATAATACAAAGAACTAGTGTTTTTTATTTATATTTTTTTTTATAGAAAGTGCTTTGAAATTTTCTTCTGCGTATTTATTCCTGTCCTAAAAGAAATGCCTTGAGCAAGTAAATTAGTGGTAGTAAAAATCAGGTACAAAATTTGCAAGGAAGTAATCTAAAAAAAAATTAAAGGCAAAAATTTTGCGGAAAGTTTTGCATGGTTTTAAGAACAACTTTCTGTTATCAAGTAGATTAATAAAATACAGTGCAATAAAATAGAATACAATAAAAACTTAAATTTTTGAACTCCTTTTCATATTCGTGATGAATCATTTAAAAAATAAAGCAGTTAAAAAAAGTTACTGTAAAAAATAGTAAAATAGCCTGTAAGAAGAAAGTAATGTGAAATTAGATAAAAAAAAAACGTATTTAAATAAAAAAAATAAGGGAAATGGTATTTGAGGTAAAATTCAGAAAGATCGATTAGTGAAAATTTGAAAATATTGGAGGAATTGAGGTAAATGAAGCTTTAAGTCGGTGAATTTGTAGAAGACAAATGAAAAAAATAGCCTTTGAGGCAAAACTAAAAAAAAACACTTTTGAGGAGGTAGAAAATAATAAAGATTGACGAACATTAAGCTTTGAGGAAATAGATAGTAGAAAATTTGGAAAATATACTTTGAGGGGAAACTGGAGAAGTTAAAATAAAAGAAAAAGATGTCAAATAATTAAATGAAAATAAGGGAAAATGAGTAAAATTTGGTATTTGTAATTATACATAATAATAGGTTTGAATGTTTTGGAAAACCATAACACCTATTAAAAACTTGAAAAAACTGGTAATAGTTGAGGAATTGAGGTAAATTACCAAGCTTGAAAAATAAAAAAAAATAACTTTTGTGGCAGAACTAAAGAAAAGAAAAGAAAAAAGAATCAGGAAAAATGAAAAATAATAAAAAAACAAATTTGAGGAAGTAGAAAATCGTAGAGAAATTGAAATAAAATCTTTGAGGAGGTAAATAATAAAACATTGAGAAAATATACTTTGAGGGGAAACTAGAGAAAATTAAATAAAGTAAAGAAATGACAAAGGAAAAATAAGAGAAAACAGAGGTAAATGAAAATTTTATATTTGTAACTAAACAAAAAAAATTGAAAGTAGTAGAGGAATTGAGGTAAATTATCAAGCTTTAAACAAGTATAAAAATAAAAAATAGTCCTGTAGACGGAACTGAAAAAATTATATTTGAGGAGGTTGAAAATAGTAGAGAATTAAAAAAAACGCTTTGAGGAAGTAAATAATAAGAAAATTCGGAAAATGTACTTTGAGGGAATTTTGTAATACAAAAATTAAAAAAATAGCCTCTGAGGCGAAACTGGAGATGATGAAATAAAGTGAAAAATGTCAAATAATTAAATGAAAAATAAGAGAAAACAGTAAATGAGTAAAATTTAATATTTGTAACTCAGTAAAAAATGGAAAGTGGAGGAATTGAGGTAAATTATCAAGTTTTGAAGAAGTAGAAAAATAAAAAAATAGTTTTTCAGACGGAACTGAAAAAATCAAATTTGAGGAGATAGAAAATAGTAGAGAAAACTTTACAAAATACGGGTTGTAATAAATACAATGCTAAAAACAATATCTATTTTAATTCAACACACATTTAATAAATATAAA